GATATGATTGCTTTTGAACTACAGTATCAGCAGTTCTCTCAGTGCCATCTCCTACGATTTACTCGTACCCCTCCCTTTCGCCTATACACCATGTTCGGTTTTCTTGTTTATCAATTTAGAATCTGTTTGGGCAAATATGGAGTTTTATTGAAGTGCTGGTGACTCACGCAAGACCGGTATAGAATGATAGACCGCCTGTTATTGATGTACTAGTTCTGGTGAATTTACGAACATCTATCTCTCTTTCAAGATACGGAGATTACTGATTTGCGGAGACGATACTAAAACCAACAATATTCAGTTTCCAGCCCTACGAACGGACTTCCCATCGCACAGTCGCCGGCTGCATAGGACGTGAAAAGAGAGACTAGGAAGAAGTCAGCCACCTATCCTTATCAACCAAGCCAAAAGAAACCGAAACCGAAATGACTTACCGAGTAATCCGTGTCCGGCACCCCGTCCCTCCCCTCAGGATTGAAAAACCTGAACTCCCTCACAAGTGTGGCAATAATAACCTCCAGATTTAGATACGCAAACTTCTCACCAATGCAACGATGTCTACCAGCCCCGAACGGCAAGTACGGACTGCGTGTTCCCTTAGAAACAGCCCCATACCCGTAATCCACCGTGTCAGAAGCATCCTCAACCTCAACACGACTCTCCCAGCGATGCGGATTCCACCGCAACGGATCACGGAAATGGCGGTCATCCCGCGCCGTAACGCCAGGCGAAGAGAGTAGTGTATGCGATGGCGGAATCACAAACTCAGTCCCAGGCACCGGCATCGGATTCTTCACTTTCCGCATAAGCGTATGGATAGACGAGTGGATGCGCAATGTCTCTTTGATCACATTGTGGTGTAGCGGAAGCTTATCCATATCCTTATACTGCAGCGGCGGGAGATCAGCCCCTAAGTTCTTTATCTGTTCCGCATACAACTTCTCCGTCATCTCGGGCTGCGAGGCAAGTCGGAGAAGGATCCAGCAGCCAATTGCAGATGACGAGTGCTGGCCGGCCATCAGCAGCGTGATCATCATATGCGCGATCTCCTTGTCTGGGATTGGTGTCCCGTCGCGGTACACGCAGCGCATTAGGTTCGAGATCATGTCTGTGCCTTTGCCCTTTTCGCTGTGGTTGACGTTGTCTTCTCCGGCTTCCCGTCGCGCTTGGATGATTTCAAGGTAGATCTCGCGCATACGTGCGTGCGCTTTATCCCGCTTGCGGTTGTTGGGGAGCGGTGCCCAAGGGAGCATGAAGTTTACTGGGGTGAAGCCGAGGTCGAGGTCGTGGAAGAGCTCGGCGAACTCTGAGGTCAGTTTGGAGCGTACTTCTTCGCCTTGGAGTGTGCGGGCTGCCGTGAAGACGGTTATTTCAGCCATAGCGGCGGCGAGGTCGATGGTGCCGGATTGGCCTTTAAAGTTGGGGGATGATTTTATGTAGGCGCTTGTTTCGTCGGCGATTAGGGGGACATAAGATTCTAGGGCTTCTTGGCTTAGGCCGTATTTGATGAACTGGTTTAGGGGGGTCGGGTGTTAGCTTTAGATATGAGTGATGATGAGTGATTAGAAGGAGTCATACCTTCTTTTGCTCCATGAGTTTGGAGTTGGGACAGTCGTAGACAACATCAGATCCGAAGACGGGCGTTGTAAGCCTGCCGTAGACTTCTTCGGCGTTGACGTCCTTCAACTTTCCATTGAGGATGAACTCATTGCCTTCAACGCCGAGGTATACGGTTGTCTTCTTGCCTAGCAGAATGAAAGTGAAGATGTCGCCGTACTAGGTGTGTTCGTTAGTAGGCGTCGTCTATCATTTTGGAAGCATCAGGAGCTGCAAGATATACACACCCTGGCACGAGAAGCGAAGAAGAACTGGTACGGATCCATTCCATAGGCGACTGTACTTCCAATAAAAGGAACCCAGTGGAAGACAACGGGTGGTTCCTTTCTGTTGTAGAAGACGAGCTGCTTGATCACATTAAGGACAATTGACACCAGCACAAGTCCGGTGGTGTAGTATGCGATGCACAGGATCTGACCTGCTACCAATGGGACGAGATTCATGATGCTTTTTTCACTAGATTCGATACGAAATAGAAGTACGAAGAAGTCTGGAGTATGTAGGCCATATAGTTAGGGTTTTGTAGGACAAATCAGGAGGGCAGGATTGGCGATTAATCATCAGGTCAGGCCATCCAGCTCTTCCCCGGATGTCAGACCAGCCGACGCAGGAATGGGCTGTCCAGGCCAGTCCTAGGCAGCCGATTTGTTTTAGATCGACAAAGTACTGGAAATAGTGGGCATAGTGGGCATAGTGGGCTGTGATGACCATGTAAATTTGTGGCATTGGCTACTCATATCAACATAATGGAGCAAAAGTGCAGTGCAAAAGAGAAGAAAGAACAAAGATAAATAAGATAAATTATGTTCAACCTGATCGCTGTAATGAAAAACCAGAATGCAAACGCCAAACAACCGTAGGGATAACCGTCATAAACATAAAGGGGTGAAAAATCATAAATTAGCCGTGGATGGCAACCTCTCGGCTCTCCCACATCCGGCGGATCAGCATGGCGCTGTCGTTAATCTGGAATTCTTCGTCGTTGTCAGCACTCACATCGCGCGAGGCTTCGGCTGAAGTGGAGAGGATACGATGGGATGGATCGTTAGACTTGGCAACCTCTGCTGTATTGATAGGTTCGTCGTTTGTCGCCGGATCTCCAGAGGCGGCTGAGTTTGGATTATGTGATTGGGACTTAGATGCAGGGCTGGACCCGAGGCGACTGGGCCGTTTGCCTTGCTGCAGAAGGGGCAGCGAAGGTGCTGATTTGACTGGTTTGCCGAGAGCTGATCCTTGCTCCACATTCTTGGCTCGGACAATATGACGAAGACGAGCGAAGCTCTGGCCGGTGGGAGACTGGAAACGCCGCACGACCATCAGTTCCAGGGAGGTCTTCTCATACGCCTTGCGGATATGACGGGCTTCGCTATCGTGTCCTGCACCGCCAGCTCGACTGTCGCCGTTGAGCCCCCTGCCGGCGTCATAAGTGCTGTGGCTAGCGGCAATAAACGTTGGGTCGATGCCAGACGATGGAACTGCTGCAGTCACTCCATGATTATCAGGAGGAGAGTTATTGAGGGTGGCAGTACGTTGAAGCCAGAGCTTCTGCTGTGTGCGAGATGGCAGGTCAGCACCACGCGGCCGCGCCGGAGATGCAGTCAACTTGGCGGCTGCACTGTTCGGAGAGGGTGGTGTTTGTGGGTGGTAGTGCGGGAGGAACGATGAGGGGGTATTTGGGTCCGAATCGGTGCGAGAAGATGCCTGCATGCTATTCTTGTTGTTCAAGATGAACCTCGAGACTCCACCTTCCATAGAGGATGAGGTAGCTTGGGGGTGAGAGCCAGGCATGCTGGCCATGCTGGCTGTAGAGAATGTGCGCCGAGCATTGTCCTGGCCGGCAGCGAGGTTGAGAGATGCACTACTACGCGATGCGGGATTGAGATTCTTGGCTTCTGGCTTCACCATAGCCGAGATAGAGGACATGGCAGGGGGCGCTTTAGATGAGTGGGTAGGACTTAGGAGCCGAGTCGCTATGTCGCTCTGTTCAGTGTGCTGGCTAGACTCCTCGGCCTCTGCTTCCGAGTCCTGTTGCTCAGCTTCCTCGTCCTCATCCTTATCCTCATCCTGTTCAGTACGCTCTCGGACGAACTTGGTGGTGATTGACTCGGGGAGACTGGTAGCTCGAGGCATTTGAGGATATGGTCGCTTCACAAAGGTAAGGTGGTCGACGAGAACGGTACTATTATCTGCGCTGGGATTGGATGGTGCCACCGAGTTGCGCCTCGTACTTTCGGGTGACTGCGTGGTATCTTCCCACTCAGCCTCGTCGGTCTCGTCATCCCCCAGCTCAAAGCCGACCGTCTTTTTCTTTACCGTGCTGGAAGTTGGGCGCTCAGTCACCAACGCTTTCTTCCCAACGGCCGATGGATTCCGGCGCAATACAGGAGTAGAATAGTTTCTCTTCATGGAAGGATTAGTTGTATGATCATCCACGTTATCCCAGCGGACGTGTCCGCTTTCCTTTGGGCTCGCCACTGGAGTTGCGGGGGCGGACTTCTTGCGCTGATGATGTCGCCCAGCAGTCTCGGGGGCTAGTTGAAATCGTTGGAGTTTGTTCAAGTTCTTGCCGGTAGAGGGGTTGCGGTGGTGATTGCGGTGGGCACCAACAACATGGGCGCGGTGAGGTTTATGATGTAAAAGTGCTTTCTGCGTGTGAGACAGCGACAGGTCATTAGGATTGGCGCGCGTGACGACTGCATGGGACGACACTGCACGGCGACCGAGACCGGGGCGCTTGACAGGGGAAGAGGTATTTGAGACGTTAGAGGTAGGCATGGCGGTAACCGAAAAGCTCCCAGAGGAGCCACAGGCGGGTAATCAGCTGTGCTCACGGAGCATAGAATGTGGGGATTGGCCGAGGCAAGTTGATCAAGACGTCTCACGGCAGATTAGAGAGCATGCAGGCAAAAAGCAATGAAGATTCAATAATTGGGAGGCGGGTTACACCGGTCTGAACCACCACCAATAATGAATGAAAAATCAAATGGAATGCGAAAAAGACGAACAGGAGAGAAATCCGGGGGCGAATTAGAGAAGTGAAGAAGAGAGGGTGATCTCGCTGTCTTCGGCGATTAAGGAGCGGGTAACAATATTGTGGAGTGCCTAAGGCAGAGACGACTCTGCGCCAAAAAGGGTATAAATGGAACAATCTAGGACGATTAGTCTCCAGCTACATAGTAACAAGAATAATCTAAAAAAGCACCTTGAGATAGCTATTGGCCGCATAGGCAATGTCCTTTCGTGTATACTTGAGGTCTCTTCATTCACCCGCTTCAAGCTACACATTCAATCTGCTCTTCAGGTATCATCGGACGAAAAAGAAGAAAGAAAGAAAAAACGCAACAGATAAGACCTTAGATAACGCCCAAAGAAATGTAATTACGCTATAGCTCAATCAAGTTTTCCTCCACTGACCGTGCTGGTTGCTGATAAGGCGGTTGCGAAGTCTCCTGTGCATAGGACCCGGGTTGTCTAGTGTTAATCGAAGGGTAGACAGATGGCACGGCATTAGGAGGTTGTTGAGACTGGGACTGTGACGGGTAATAGTAAGACTGAGAAGAGCTGGTTGCTTGCTGATGAAGTGCTGGCGCAGTAGGCGGCACAGAATAACCTGGCGACTGCATATAGCCGGAAGATGGGTGTTGCTCGGGCACAGGGTTAGGGCCACTGGGAGGCGCATTGGCCTGGTACTGAGAGTCCCGGCCCATAATGGGTGACGCCTGGTATGGGGCTTCTGCGCCCGGTGACTTGGCTGAGTCTTGGTCGTGTGGTCCTGCGTAATATTGAGCTGGGGCACTTGGCGCCGGGGTATTGGTATAATTATTTGGAATGCCGTCGTTAGGCGAAGGTGATCCAAGGGTCGGGTAGTTATTCCCACCCCAGGTGTGACCATAAGACTCATTTGTGGAAGCCCCGTGTTGAGCTTGTGATGGGTAGGTGGGTGGACCTTGAAACCCATCGCCGTTCACCTGCCGGGGTGCATACAAGGTAGTAGGTGGGCGAGAGCTGTCCAATTGACTCCCATGATAGAAATTCTCGGCTCCACCCTGGACGTCGGGAGCGTGAGTAGGGAACGCTGGCTGGATATTTGGATACTGCGCCGCCCCAGGAACAGCTCCATGGCCAAGGGTGTGTTGGGAATAGGCAACTGTCAGGCGGTCTTCTAGCATTCGGTCGTAGTAACGTACAACCGTAGACAGCTTGGCGTGGAGATCCAATAATGTATCTTTGACGATTAGCTTGCAGTTCAATAAGTAAAGATGGTAAGACTGCTGAACTCACCATGCTTACTCATGGTCTCTCCATAGCTTCGAGCCAGCTTTGGTCGAAGCGCACCGATACTCTCATATAGCTCCTGGATTTGCGGTTCTCTAAGAATTGTGCCCGGCGGCTGATGCTGGAGCCGATCAACCAGCGTAGAGAAGAGATGAATATTCTCAGTTTCAACAGGGGTTAGTTCATATGGATTTTTAGGCAATGGAGTGGGCGTGCTAGAGGAATCGCGCACGATAGAACTTGGAGTGGGCACGTTCTTCAATGCGGCTGCATGGTTTTGTTTGTGTTGTTCCATATCGCGCAGGGATGCTTCAATCGCAGCCTTGAGATCCGCATCTTCGTCGTCCACATTCTCCGGCGCTGGGGCAATCTTGACGGGTTCTGGAGCATTGCCTGTCTGTGGTACAAACCCCGAAGGGCCCCTGCCCTCAGCTTCATCAAGACTCATTTGCAACGCTCGACGCAAATCCTCATCGAATCCTGTATCCGCTTTACCAGCACGAGGTTCCACTGTGTTAGATTTGCTGATGGAGTTGTTTTTGAAAGCGGATCGATCCGAAATTCCCGGTGGCGCAAATGACTTGGAGGTCAATTTGGCATAACATCCATCGTCTACTCTGACAGGCTGCAGAATTCCAAGATGTGATAAAGGAATAGTCTTGCTTGAACACTGAGCGTCGAATACGTTCCCGCAGTTACGGCAGTGGTGCTTGCGATTCATAAAGCTGAAGGGAGTCCGACATCGCATGCAGACTTCAGAGTCGATCCACTCTGGGGGCTGAGACAGATTCACAATTTAGCTTCTGCTTCAGAGTGAAGGGTTCAGGCATACTCACTGCGCTACTTTCCAGCATGCTGCCACTCATTTCTGTCTTTGGTGGAAACCGGTAGCCTTCGCTCTGCAATTTGCGATATGTCTCCCCCAAATACATCAAATCCATGCGGCCCTGTGCAGCCATAGCCCAGTTTTGAATAAGTTCCAATATTTTCGCCTGGACCTCGGCATTAAGGGGAGCGCCTTCGGATTTCAGCAATGAGACGAGGTTATCCATGAACTCCCGAGACGCGATCTCGGCCAGGAAATGGGTGCCTCCGTTTTTGACACACGTATCCGTTAACTGGAGGGGCGAGCTTATCAGCGCTTATTCCAAGCCCATCATCAACGGGAGCAGTGTCTCACCTTCAATGTCGCCAGCTGAATGTTGGGATTCCTATTCTCAAGTCGTCGTTTCAAAGACCTCATTCCATCCTTGGGCTGAACGCTCTTTGATCGAACCATGTCTGATATTTCCAGGTTGAGGGCAATGTCTTCCCTATGAGTGTGTTAGCCACATGATCATATATTTTAGACAATCCCGGTAGGTAGCCCCGGTACATATTCGCATGATAGTAACGCGGCAATCAAAACTCACAGAGAGGAAGCTGTCGCCCGCTCGATTTGCTCATCGAGCGGCGACGTTGAAGAGAACCAGCCTGCCATGGTGAAGGCGAAATACCCGATCCGCGTGCAATATCGAAGGAACACAGATCACAGCAGTGTTGCAGAGAGCTGAGACAGTTAAATGCAGTAAAAATGAAGATCAGGCTGTAAGTTGGAGGAGGAGCTTCCAGGCACCTCAATAGTGACTAAGCCCCTGGCGTCATAGGCTGGGGGCGGTGAAGTACTGTCATCTGATTACCCCAGAGGCATCCCGCATCGCGTCCCTGGATCTGTCCTCTTTACTCTGGTCTGTCTTTCGTTATTTGTGTTTGTGATTTGAACTTGATCGACTTTTGGCTGGATTGGTTACGCCAGCAATTTGGCTGTGCTATCTTTGTTTTGCTGATATTGAACATAACCATGCGTTAAGTCCGCTTGTCGCTGCCTGGATCTACCATGTCCTCCGATGCGGCGACTTTGCCATCACCCCCAAAAATACCACCGGGGAAGGACAGCCGGCGTCCTTGCTCGGTGGGGGGCGACATGAATTCCAACCGACAAGTCAACAGGCCGGATTCCTATCCCAAGGGCAAAGCCCCTCTCATCCCACCGCGGCGACCTCGGTTCCCAAATATCAAAGACCTGCAAGACCAGGCTGCTGCGTTAAATGTCAACGATACTACACCGGTATGTGCTGCACTTACTCACAATTGTATGAATTATTTCTTTTAACAGGGGCCATAGCTTAGTATTCTCTTGCCAACGGCTGCCGATGCAATCGAAAGGGCCAGGAGCCTTGCAGATGACGACTACAACGACAAAGCCTATGTCCAGTACCTTCGTGCCTCTGAAATCACTATCAATCTCATCCCCCATCATCCAGACTATCGAACCGCCAGCCAACGCCCTGATTGGTACAAGGAGTTCGCCGATCTATTGAAGGCGGTACGGTCCAAACAAGGCACTATGGATGCGATCAAGCGGGACATCATCGAGGATAATTTGGTCAGTGGCATGCAGCCAACCGGTATCTTTACATCCAGATCCCCAGAACAAACCCCTGTTAAGCCGAGGAGTCCTGAGAATCGAGAGTCTGTAACAAGCTTCGCTAGAATGCCAAGTCCGACTCAGTATCAAAGAATGCCCGAGGCAGAGGCACATTCGCACAGATTTTCCAGTCCTCCAGATGACATGCTTGCGCAACGTTTCGCCAAACTCAAGGCGTCTCCGCCTTCCAACCAGTATGGATTGGGAGCAAGTAGTGCTGGTCCGGGAAGCCCGATTGTAGGATCTGCAGGGCAGAGCCCACTTCATCCGTCGAACATACCCCTTGGGACATACAGCTCTCCACCACCAAGACGTCCATTGGGACCTCGTGGCATGGGATCTTCATCTAATGTGCCGACCATTCCACGGAAACTTCCACTTAATACATCGTTACCACGTGCTCCGGACCCGGCGTATAGCCCTGTCTTCACCGTGCCATCCAAGCCCACATCGAACCCACTGAGACGGTCAACGGAGAGCACACGCTCAGGCAATCCAAGATACTCACAATTCAGCAACTCGCCACGTGTCAGTCCGACCCGGGGAGGCTTTGATGACAATCCGTATAGATCTGTCACGCCCAATGGGTTGAATTCGGCGCGAGAGACACGAAGCGACTCACCCGACTTGCCGTACAGCACAACCATAACTGCACAGAGCCTCCTTGAAAATCTGCGGAAATTCAATGTGCTGTTGATCGATGTTCGAACCCGAGACCAGTACGATAATGGTCACGTATATGCAAAATCTATCATTTGTATAGAACCTGTGATTTTGAAAGAGAACGTGTCAGCGGAAGAATTAGAGGAGCGACTCGTTATTTCACCGGAGCATGAGCAGGCCTTATTTGAGAAACGGAACGAGTACGACCTTGTGGTTTACTATGATCAAAGCGCCGATTCTGTCAGCTATCTCGCTGGTTCGCCGGTTGGGACATCAGCGCCCCATTTGCGGGCTCTCCATGATACTCTTTACGAGTTCAATGCGTACAAGCCGTTGAAGGCAGGGCGGCCTCCGGCTCTCCTGCTTGGTGGATTGGATGCCTGGATCGATCTTCTAGGGCAACAATCTCTTGCAACATCCTCAACCGCTGCCGTCATGAGTTCTCTGCAGGCCAGAAAGCCCGTGCCTAGACCTGGTCGACCCCTCGGGAGAGTGCCCACCATGGCTAGTGCGAATTCAAGCCTTGAAATTCGGAAGAGACGACTGCGCGAGTTCACTCCTTTGAATTCAAAGGAGTTGTCCGAGTGGATGGAGAAATCTAAAGTCGAGGAGATTGACACGAGCACCTATGCTGAGGAAGATTCGCTGACGGAAGAACCCGAGGAGACTGGGCCAGAGCCTCCAAGTCCATTTGTCCAGACATATGAGGCCTTTTTGCGTCGTTTCCCTGAACCGCACGATGTTCCAGAGTCCATGACACAGGTGAACTCCCGTCCTCCTCCTGCCGCTGCTCCAAATTATGCTGCACACATGTCAGTGGCTCCCTCTCGGCCACCCCCTGCTGTGCCTCGTCCCAGCTATAGCGGCGTCTCCGATGGACGGCAGATCCAACCCCATTTGCAACGACAGAATTCTGCAAATCGGACAGCCCTGTACGCTCCAAGCTCCCGCCTAGATCGCATCAAACTTCCGCGGACTGGGTTGACCAATTTCGGCGTGACGTGCTACATGAATTCCACCATCCAATGCCTCAGCGCAACGATTCCACTGAGTAGGTTCTTCATTGACAACCGATTTCGCTATTATGTACAAAAAAATTGGAAAGGGTCTCAGGGCGTTATGCCTGGACTTTATGCGAACTTGACCCGGTCGCTATGGAAGAACGATATCGAGGTCATCATGCCGACCTCGTTCCGGAACTTCTGTGGACGCTTGAATCGAGAATGGGCAATTGACCGGCAGCAAGATGCCAAAGAATTCTTCGATTTTGTGGTAGATTGCCTCCATGAGGATCTCAATATCAACTGGCAGCGAACGCCGCTTCGACCTTTGACATTTTCGGAGGAGATGCAACGAGAGCGAATGCCAATGACCAAAGTTTCCCGAATTGAATGGGACCGATACTGCCACCGAGAGGAGTCTTTTATCTCGTCACTCTTCGCAGGACAACATGCCAGTCGACTGCGCTGCACGACCTGCCGGCAAACGTCCACTACCTATGAGGCCTTTTACAGTATCAGCGTCGAAATTCCACCAATAGGTGCCGGTGATATCTATCAGTGTCTCCGTAGCTACTGCAAGGAGGAGATGCTGAGCGGCGACGAGGTCTGGAAGTGCCCACACTGTAAATGCAAGCGAATGGCAACCAAGCAGATCATCATCACGCGAGCGCCCCAGATTCTTGTTGTTCATTTCAAGCGCTTTTCTGCATCCAAGACCCAAAGCGCGCGGAAGATCCACACCCCAATCGAATTTCCGCTCCACGGTCTACGGATGGACGATTTTGTGATTTCTCACCCTGATCCTCCCCCTCCAGAGCCCGGTATGGCGCCCACCACCGGCGCCACGGTCCCACCATTCACCTACGATGCCTTTGCGGTGCTGCGGCATATCGGGTCTTCGATGGGTAGCGGACACTACATCTCGCTGGTCCGCGATGCGGAGCGGCAGTGCTGGCGGAAATTCGATGACGATCGGGCCACGGACTTCAATCCGCGGGAGCTTCGGACGCGGGACCGGTTACAGAACGAACAGGCGTACATTGTGTTTTATGAACGAGTTCCAGCGAAATGAGCGTTCTGGTTTCTAGCATTGTCATGATCACGATTGGATAAAGGTTCTTTTTGGGTGTATATTACTATGCACATAGTATAATGGATACTTTATACACAGTCTACATAACTAGTACTTAGTACACAATCCCAACGTCCAGACTTCTTAATTCCGCCAGCGGAAAGCGGATCCCGACGGTGCTACCCGAGACTTGATCCCCGAGGTTACGGTTAACCAAGCAGAGTGGTTAGGCAGTTGAGTTTATGTATGTACTATATACTAGGTATATATTATAGCTATATGCTACACTATATACTATGTACTATGTATATACTATGGCTATATAATATACTAGAATATATTACCATGGACTCTACGAACTAAAAAGGTGTATACCCCCCTCAAGGCCAGATCTCCCCTTCATATAATAAGCGGCCCCTGATTCGTCGCCCCAGATCCTATCTAGCACAACATAAATGCAGAGTGTATCAGATTCAGATAGACACATAAATAGATGGAGTGACAAAAGGTAAGATAGGTAAGATAGAAAGTAATAGAATTTATGTAGATCCAATTAGAAACCTCCCTTTTCTTCCCCCTCTCTTATAAGCCGGGTGTAATTCACGGCATCAAAGTCCCTGGTACCTGGGCCCCACCCGTCGAGACCGCCCAGTCGCACGTACCAGCTACGTGTTGGTTCTTTTTCTCTATTCTGATTCTTTCTTGACATCTATCTCTCTCCCCCTCTCCCCTCCTCGTTTTCTATACTCTAGCTGGTTTTTGGACTTACTATTTCCCCCCCCCCCCCGAAATACCCCGTAAGTTGTCAACTTCCTGCCAACTTCAACTTCCTATCTCCCAACATTTCTCGGGCTGTTTTCTCCTATCGCCATCTCCACTCAACACATCCAGATACACCCCTCTCTTCACTTGCCCAGTCTTGACAGAGAACACCACTGACCGCAATCTCATTCAGATACCTTAATTTGCCATGTCCGAAGTCAAGGAACTCACCTTGCAGGAGGTCTCCGAGCACAACAACAAGAAGGATCTCTACCTGATCATCAACGACAAGGTCTACGACTGCACCACATTCGCCAATGAGCACCCGTACGTTGTCTCCAGATCTACCCACTGTCACCAGATCTAGCATTCCAACATCCCAATACCCGAAGCCAAAGAACAAGCGAGAGCCAGAGTAGAAGAGAAAAACAAAAACAAGAAAACGACAAGGCCACCTCGGCCTATTCTCTCCCCTCGCCTTGCATTGCTTCACCAATCCTAGATCAAAACCCCAG